AAAACAACATTCATCAATAATTCATCATATTGAAGATTTTATTTTGAAATCAATTTTAGAAGTAACTCTAAATTTTAGTTATTTAGTTTTTATATGCTTTAATAAAACCAACATTCATCAATACTTCATCATATTAACAATTTTATTTTGAAATCAACTTTAGAAGTAACTCTAAATTTTAGTTAAGACTAAATTTGTGCAACTAATATTGAAAATTTAAAATCTAAACAAAATATAATATTTTTTTGTAAAAAAAAATATTCTTTAACCTTTCATATTATTTTAAATAATTATTATATAAAAAATTCAATTGTAGATCAAGTATTACTAAGCATGAAAGTTAAGTGAAGGTTAATAGTTATTACTATATTATAAAAGATCAAAGGTGACATAAAATATATTAATAACACATCTAAGGTATAATTCGGTTCTTCGATTCGGTACGGTATGGGACGGTTCAGTCCGGTTCTCGGGACGGATATTTGTGAAATCTCCAGAACCGTACCAATTATTTTTTCGGTTCGGTTATGTTCGGAGAGAGTCAAACGGCCAACGATTATTTTTTGATTCGTAGTGATTTCGGTTCGGTTTTCGGAATGGTTCGGAATTCTCTGAGTCCCATGCTCAGTCCTATATAAAATTTTCTAGATTTTATAATTAGCAAAAGTAAACGATATAAATAAAAACTATTTAACTTACATATTAACATTTGTATTGATCGCAATAATGTAGTTTTACAATTTTTATTTTATTTTTTTTTATTTTGCTTATAAATTACTAAACATACAATCACATGCTAGACGAGTTCAACAAAAACAAGGGAAAGAAAATAGGAAGATAGTAGCTCCAAACATATGAAGTTTGCGCCACAAACGCCCACTTCGCCAAGTTGTGAGCCACCCCATTCTGGTCCCTTGACACATGAGCGCAACGACCGCAATTGAGGGAAAATAGGAAGATAGTAGTTTTACAATCTTAGTTGAGTTATGATCAATTAATTAGATAAAATAGTATTAAATTATTATTATAACAATTTTTAATGAAATTTTAAGGAGTTTGGTTATGGCATAAAAAATAATTAACTGGCGAAGAAAACTTGCTTAATGAGGTTAACAAGCAAATAATATTTTAAATAAATAGCTTGAAAAAAAAATTAGAATGAAATATCATTTGTGACTTTATGATTACTTAGTAGTGGTTATTATTCAAAATAAATAAAATTACAATTACTTTATTAATGAAAAATATAACGAAAAAGAGCAAAAAAAAAAAAAACGAAAAACAATTATCATAAATTTTTTTGTCAACAATTATATATAAATATTCTGCAAAAAGAAAATTAAATATGCAAATAAAAAAATAAAGCAAAATCTTTAAAAACGTTATAGCCCAATTGTCAGTGAAATTAAATTTTTTTGCTGAAGTTGTGGTGTCAAATGATCACTTATTGAAATTTATTTTGCCAAATTAATAAATGAACATTAAGAAAGTGCAACAACTAAGGTGGAATAAGAAAATTTTATTTGCCAATGGTAGTAACATAGGATTTAAATGTGAAATCAGTAATAATGAAAAAAAAAAATACGAATATATGCTAAAGAATGTTACAAACATACTGTAAAAAATTATATATGAATAAATGAAAAAGGTCGCACTTGCAACAACTGTGTACTTTATTCGGAATACTCGAAACAAGTTGACTCTGAAAATGAAATCAAACCTCAGGCGTTTGACATTCGAAAGATCCAAACTCACATCTATGGAACTGTATTTGCATTGCACCCAAATGTGCTCGTCGACCTCAAAAGGAAGGCCCTTGAGCATGCTAGACACACAAGGCATCATCGAGCCTAGGTCACGCACGTGATGCGAAGGCTTGGGTCGGACATGCGAGCGACACCACGCACGTGACGCTAGGACACCGCGTGTCCATTTGAGCCTACGACCTTCCGAAGTGTCGCGCCCGCGAGACACCCGCCTCGTCTGCAATGGTCGGTGCGCCCGCGAAGCGCAACCAATCCGCGCCGCAGATAGTCACCATGCACGCAGTGTCTACCCATCCACACACCCGCATGCCTGCAACGCGTAGTGTATTTTGTTTTCGAGAATTATTTTGAAACTTGAGTGAGCGAACAACTTGTGATTGACATCTTAAACATTTGATCCGCAAGTGAGGAGTCGAGCATGTAGCTACCTACCACACTTTTGTATGCCACACGGCAATTGTTGTAACCCGTGGGAAATTAATTTATTTGTTTTTTCTTGTGTCCCCACGTTTCTTACTGAGTTTCTTCTGGAGACTTGGATGTGTCGAGGTAACTCGTACATTTCTTATGTTTTCCATGATTTTCTCCAAACTGATTATTTTCAACGCATGAGTTCAAGAAACACAATACCTGCTACAATCACCTGGTCGTTACCGACTTCAGAGTTCAGAATTCGTACAACCTCAACGCATGACTTCAAGAAACACAATACCTACTACAAGCACCTGGTCGTTACTGACTTCAGAGTTCACAATTCGAACAATCCAGGCAGATCGCCATAAAGGTAGACAAACAAGGAGGCAAAATAGATTGTAGACAAGTTTTATAATCCAAACTTCATCAACTAAACCACCAAAACAAACAAACCCACATACATTACAAGCAAGAAGTCGGCGCTTGTTCCATGGGGCACTTCAAGATTAGGGAAATTTGCTCATTGTTCAATACTATCTCAACTCCTAGCCCGAGGGTCAGGATTGCCATTACACATTACTAAAAACGCTATCAATTCCAAGAAACTTATGTTTCCATTTTTTTCTTGTTGCTCTAGGAAGGACGACCATGCATACCTCTACCACGGCCCCTTCCCACATAGCCGCCATACCCACCATAACCCCTCCCATGGTACGACCCACGAAACCGACCGCCACCACGGCTGGGCCCACGTCCACCACGACCTCGGTACCTTGAAAACTCTCCAAATGTCTTCATTTTTTAATGAAAAAAAAAAATGCATCAGCCACTGTCAAAATTTATATTTATGGTGCTTTGGGAGAAAATAGTGCATGCATACATACCTCAGTATCCAGCTTCATTTGCTCTGAATACCTAGTCCTTCCATGATTCGGGTCATTTTGTAGTGAATTGCAGGATAGGGAGTCAAAAAAGTCGTCTTTGTTATAAACAGGCTGCAAAAGGCAATATAAGTATATACAGAGTGAGTTAAGTTCCCCAGAAATTGCCGATATCAATATACAACAAATGAAACAATCAAATCACCTTGATCTCAATCTTTGGTGATTCAGCATCATCCTCCACCTGTGAATCATCTTCTTCATCACTTTCATTTTCATCATCTTTGGATTGATATTTGTTACTCTTTCCCAAATGACCCCACACTTCATCTTTATTGAATTTCTCATTCATTGCTGTAAAATCAAAATCTTCGGTGAATCTAGCAACAGGGCGTGAGATCTGCAAGCCATCGAGATTCATTAATTTACTTTCTATCATTCTAGGTTTAAGTGGCAACAGTTCGGTTCCTACATTAAAGGTTTTCAAAATTAAAACAAAATAAATCAACAACAACAACATAGCCTTTTAGTCCCAAATAAAACAAAATAAATCAATTTCAGGAAATTACAAGAAACTTGTAAATAATTAACATTATTCTTACCCCAGATCCTCTTCCGCCACGCCCTCTGTAATTGTTTCGCATGTGATAACCACCTCCATTATGCTAAAAGAACAATAAGTTGCAGCATTAGTCCACATATTACAATTAAATATATAATAACATTGACAAGCCATGTTTACAATAGAATACGATGGGGCAGAGAACTGACATAGAACAAGCAAACTGTCATCTACAAGCTAACTCAACAATTATTTCCGAAGTACTACAATGCTCTCATACCCTCCTCGAAGGTGATGGTGATAAGTAATGAGAAATAAGAATTACCAATATCTTCAATAAATCCCAGTCCTGGAGATTGACTGGTTACGATAAATTGGTAAATATTTGTCACTCAAGTTAATCAAAATTCACTGTTAAAATGTATTTCAGCTGAAGTATGTCATTAAATCTACAGAACTCAATAATGAGATTTTCAATAAAATGATGTGAAAACAACTATATTAGGAAATCAAAGTAATCAGGAAGTCTGTCAAATCAGGTTTATAGTCCATTGATGCAATGACATCTAAAATCTTTCAAAGTAATCATGTTGGTCTTTGTAACATTCTATACAGCTGTAGCATAATAAGAATAAAACATTCCTATTCAACTTTAGCTTGGATCAGAAAGAAATATATATAGATTTTTCATGGCATACAATCAAAACGATCAAACTTTAGCACTCGTGAAAGAAATGTAAATAACTTTGACCACAGCCGTGTATATAAACAAACAGGGAAAAAAAAAGAGAGAAAAAAAAACCTTTTGAGCTCTTGCATTTGCCGGTAAAGGTAATATTGGTGGCTGAGCTTCCGATGCTGCCGGCACTGAAGCCTCTGGCGGTGGTTTAGATGACACTTGGACCACCTCGACATCCTTCTGCATTGTCTGTGATGTTTGAGGTGCAGAGATAGCAGGTGGTGCTGATTGCAGAAGTTGACCAGGAGTTACAAGTGGTGGTGTATGCTTTTCTGTAAGAACAGAACCAGATGCCCGAGAAAAAGATGGTGGTCCGGCTTCTGATATACTTTGCTGGCCCGCAGCTGGACCAGGTACTGGACTAGGTTTGCTAGCAACCAAATGTAATCCGGCGTCAGAAGGAATTGAAGTTGGAAGTTGAGCTAAAGATGGGAGGCTAGAGTTTGTTGATGTCAGGATACCAGAGCCAGAAACTGGGGGAGCTTTGTTTTGAAGTGGATTACTCATTGTTCCAGATACAAGCGGGATGGGCTGTAGAGGGGGAACATTCAAAGACGAGATTGGGGAAGTCGACGAAGTATTAGGAGTCAAAGTAGAGGAACTTGTGCTGTTCGGAACCAAGGATGACTGGTAATCTGGCAGAGTTGAAGCAGGCATACTAGATGAAGCTGTTGGCAGAGATGAATTAAAGCTCGAAAATTGCATCTGATGCATGGTAGGAGGAATAGACAGGCCGGGGGGTGGTCGAAGAAGGGACTGCTGGGGCAGTTCGGGCAGCCCGTTAGGTGTGCCATATAATCCCTGCCAGTACATTGGCATGGCCAGGCCACTACCGTTTGGGTTTGACGGAGAAGGTCCCCATGAGTTCAAGTTCCCACCAGGTTGATATAAATGCATGTTGTTTTGGAAAGTCGATCCAGGCAGTCCCATTTGTGAAGAATGGGAGCCATGGTCCAGCAATGACCCGTTCGGGGCTGCCACAGGCATGCTTGCGGTTGGAGCTGATGGACGGGGATAGTGAGACTGTATCAGAATTTAATTGGTTAGACAAAAATTGATTCCCATGGATTGTGTTACCAATGTAGTTGTTCAAATACTTGCCTGAATAATTGCGGGGTCATTGTTTATAGGTGGAGTGCTCTGAACTGGTGGAGAAGCTTTGACTTGTAAATCCTGTTGAATATAAAATTATAGATTACAATTTAAGCATTTTGATATGTATGAGTAACAGCATTAATATCAAGCACAACTTGTTCATGGCAGTTCCTTTCTGTGTATAAATAACAGACCAAATACCATCTCCTAATATGAAAGATACCCCAAGCAGAAAATTAAAAACCACTACAACATTTGTCCACTTCTGCAGGGAGAGCAAAAACTGAAATCAAGCTAATGTATGGAAATTTGGCAAGCACCTTAATATCACTTCCTCTGAATAGTATGTATTCGTAAACTTTGTCGCTAGGAGGGACCTGCGGACCATCTTTCTTCCGACCTTCTGTACCAAACGACCTCACTGCCATAAATGAACCATTTTAGCGCCATGGATTATTATTTACCCATAGTTTATAATATAATATAAGATAGACACGTAAAATGCGATAAGCCCTATGAATAAGGACATTCTTTCAGAATTTCAGATAGAGCTTCAATGAAATTATGACCACATAAAGGCCATCTGTAGGCTTCCCAACTGAAAATTACAGCTTATTCATATGCGTGGAAAATAAATCAACTCAAACTATTACAACACGAATCATCGTATGACCATGAGGGTAGACAGATTCAGAAACTACAAGTTCATTATCGGGTGTTTGCATGCTCACAAGTTTCTTCAAAGCATCCTATAAGAGCAAGCTTATAACACAGTAAATCCCAATATAAGATGTAAGCACTTAATTATTAAGACAGTTTAAAAGAATAGACTGTGTTTGCTCACATACATTTCCAGATAACTACTTCAATCAACAGGCCCAATGAACAGATTCTCAACTAATCAACAGAACGACAGAAGCATAACAACCTGACTCACAGAACAAGGACACAACTCGACTCAAAAAGATTAACAAAATTGCGAGATGGACGTGAAGATTAAGATAAGAATAAAACAAATCCTAATCCATACATAAATATCAAATTCAATAAAAAATTCGCAACTACAAGAAAAAAATGCATCTTTTCCCCAAATCCACTAACCGTTGCGTAGGCCGATGCTAGACTCTTCGGTGTTGATATTGTAGAGTATCCCTTCGTACCTGATCTCGCTCTTCGAAGTCAAGCTTATCAAGCTGCCAATGTACGAGTCCGCCGATGGTCCTCCGCCGCCAGATCTGGCGCTCGCCGCCGCCGTCGAACTCTCCGCAGCCATCTTTGTGCACCTCCCAAACTAATTTATCCACTTGTTTATCGAAAGAAAAGAAAAACAAATAGATGTATCTCAAACACACACAAATATACGTATTTACGTATATATATAGAGAGAGGGTGGAAATCGGAAGTTCGCCGGAGAAAGTAACAGTTGGAGTATTATACAGAAAGAATTTTGACACCTTTTTTGCAGTGAAGGTGTGGGTAATATGGATGAAATTAGGGCAAACTTGTGATGGTGCTTTTGCAAATTCCAATTGTTGCATAAATACAACCTAACCTTGACTAATATCTAATAATATATAAATTATGTTTTAGGGCATCCACATCGCCCGTTAATTCATACACATTTAAACACGCGTTAATTCTGATGTGGCTCATGGAAAGCCGAGAACTCAGGCTTGTCGACTAGGTTATCCCCACATTTATTCAGCGACCTCACTACAAATTGCCAGTCCCTGGCCGGTGGAAAGCCGAGAACTCAGGCTTATCGACCTAAGGGATCCACTCACCAAGGCGTGAGACTAATTATATGTAATACCCCAACATTTTATCGGTATAAATTATGTTTTAGTTCCGATATAATAACGTTATCGATTATTATTTTCAGAATTAATTATTTTCAGTCGAGATTACCGAAATTTATTTTCGACGTACCGTTTACGTTCGGAATAATTTTGGTAATTAAGTATTATGTTTAATTAAATAATTAAACATAAAATAAGTGATTAATTAAGATTAATCATGTTATTAGGGCACAAAACCGTGGGAAATTCAAGTTGCCCTAATTTTTTTTAATAAGGCCGTATGCTATGGGAATATATGTTCCAATTTCTCTTAATTTTTCTTAAGTCTTAAGGACTTGTGGTTCATCCATCCACTAACCATCACACGTGGCATTAGTATTAGATCATTAGTCATCAATAAGTGTTCAATTAACTAGCAAGTGTAAGGTTTATACTAGGCCACGAGTGCACGACATCATCACACCAAAAATTGGGAGCTTGCACGGCTTGGTATAAATAAGGGAGGTTAGGCCAAAATTTTCCACTTTCCCTCACATATATGTTCAGCCCTCTACGTCCTAGTTCAGCAGCAAATTAGTCAATCTATTTCCTTAATATTCTCATACTAACGCACGGCAAGAAGGAAGTATCGCACGGCACACGCAAGGCCAAGGAAGCGCGCCCTATCCTCCATTTCAGTAGATAGTTCCGAAAGGTACTCTTATCTCTGACCTTCTTTCATGTTATAAGTTCAAGTGATATGAGATTGTTCAACTTCTAATAAGAAAATGTCATAAGAGGCTCGGTTTAGGCCATTTAGGCCAAGACCGAATTACGTTCATTTTATTCCGACAGTCCCGAGCG